TATTCTAAACCCCCAAAGTGAAAACAATGCGACTTTAATCCCCCAAATCAATTGATTTTGAGATTTCTTTGGATCAAAGAAATATTTGAGGTTTGAAGAAGCATCCAAAAGCTTACCCTTCATTGTTGGAACTTTTTTAGGGTGCCAGTGAAGGTTTTTGTATTTCATCTTGTTTGGGTTTGGTCGTTTTTATGTGTAACTATGGAGTGTTCCGTACTCAATTTGGATAGACAGTTAGGGGCTAATACAACATGACATTGTTTATGTCTTTTGACATTTTCCATTCAATGATTTGAAGTTTTGAACGTCTTTCAATGTTTATGTGTATATATTTACATGGTAAAAATTAGTTAGAATATATAAAAATGCAGAAATGTTTTGGCTGATTCGACCAGGACTTGTCAAGTCCAATCTTTTATTTTGATTATTCCTATAGGAAGAAAGAAAAGACCATTAAGTTGGTTTTTTTTTTCATCCATAGGTGATATACTTATTTGCCAAAGGCTATGTTTTGTGTGATCTATCAGCTCATTTGATGAGATTTGTTAGCAAATCGGTTTCATGGATATGAGGGAATGCAAAATCTGCATTTCTTGTTGAGAGGAGCATTGACGAACCTCAGCTAAGCTTAACCTTAAGCGTACATTACGGGTTCGATTTTGTGGATATTGAGGATTGATCTACTCGTCAACTGATTTTTGCATTGTTAATGTTATAAATTTAATTTTTTTGATGTTGTAAATCTTTTGATTTAGTCTGATTTCTTCAAACTACCCTAGATCAACATGTATCTAGGCTTTATTTCATATAGATCTGGTTTTTGTTTGTCGACCAACTGCTATATCATCTATTCTCTTTATACATGTACTTTATTTTTGAAGAAGGTACAGAAATTGTGTACAAATGAGAAAATTGTTGCGAATTTTATTTTAGTACAGAGTATGTTTGTTTGATTGAGTACTACAAGCTCATGATATCAATGAAACTAATGCATGGCCTATAATCAAGCCCCTGACTTCGTACGAGCTTAGTGGGCCCTACCCTGCTTAGATGAGGTGGCTTAGGTTGACCTATTGATTAATTTCATGGTATATTAACAATTAACATTCTCAAAATGAAAACTTCATGGTATATTGTTAAAGAGGGCCTCTTGCCCATAGTATTGTGGATGCCTTTGATGAGGTAAAGTGCAAGAAGCTATTGTTTAGGCTACTCAATGATGTAGTGAAAGCTGTTGGGTAAGGATTACAGTCCAAGTCATAAGTGACAATGGCAAGAATTGTTTCAACAAAGGAAAGAGGCTGATGAGGATGAGGAGGAATTTGGTTTAGTCCGAGAGCAACCTACTGATCACCCTAGTAGCCGAATATATCTGTCAACATAAGTTGGTAGAGACCATGCCGAGAAGGAATGGATAAAAAAAGGAAAAATAAAAAAGACTGTTGAGAAGTGGAAGACCATTGCCCAATTCATTTATAACCATTTGTGGGTTCTAAATTTGATGAGATAGTACAAGGAGTGGGGGAGCTAACTATGCCAGTCATCAAACAATTCACCACCTGGTTCTTGTCGATAAATACGATTTGAGGTCACAAGCTGGGCTTAAAAATATCTCTCTAGTGAATGGATCGATGCCCTTATCTTAATGTCCAGGCTACAAGAGTAATTGAAGGGATAATAACAACAGGAGGTTCTGCGATAGGTTTGAACAGAATGTAGTACCTATGATACCTCTAATAGCAATTTTGAAGATGGTGCACTCCAATGAGAAGCCTGCAATGGGGTTTTGTATGAAGCAGTTGATCATGCAAATCAGGCTAATGAAGCCACATGCACGTTCCATTAGAAAATATGTGAGATAATCTATGACCATTGGAATATCTTGTTGCACCGACCATTGCATGTAGTAGGGAACGATCTAACATTTAACATTTTATGGTTGTCCATTTGGATTTTGGAATTTGTGTTATGAATTTATGGTTTACGATTGCTCAGGGTTCATGTAATTAATCATGAGGTCCCATCTTAATTATGTTCTATCTAAGTTTCATCTTCAATCTGGCATATTTCTATTCCCCTAGACAATCAACTCACCTTGAGATTGTGGAGGAGGTGAAATATTGCATAAAGAGATTTGAGTGATATGGAAAAACATAGATTAAAGCCTTTAAAGGAGGTAAGAAAGGTGTTTTGTTGAATTGCTTTATGAGATATTTAAGCAACATTTGTATAAAACTAAACCTCAATGTTTTCCTCAACCTTCTTTGTATATGGCTGCACAAGGGAGATTTGTGACAAACCTGGTCTAAAAAATATCGCACTCAACTAAGTCCACAGTTACTTGTGTTCTTATTGGCTTCTATTAGTATTTCATTTTTTATTGTCATATGACTTCTTTCTTATGAATTCGTTCTTTTTTAAGCAAAGTGGTGGAAAGTACATGTTACTAGAGCTCCCCACATAATAAAGTATTGGGATCACGGTCCTCAGCTGAATCTGTTTCGCGATTTGTGTGAGCTAAACTGGAGTACATTAAATTGGATCCTCATGCTGAGGATAGACATGGTTGCAAAAGCTTCACAAGCTTGGCTATGTTCATTACAAATTAAACCTCCAAAAGCGGTAGTTGAGGAGGGAAGTTAAGGACTATGACCCTATCAGATTGGAGCACATCATTGCAGTGGATCTGGTAGACACATGGTTGGTGGAAGTGGATAAGTTAGCTATCAATAAAAGGGTGCTAGAAGAAGAATTGGGGCCCATTGATGGGGTGGGGTTGATATTGTACAAGTTGAGCACGGGAAGATGGAGGGGGAGATGATGATGATGATAATGATGATGAGGCCACTAAAGTAGATGATGTTGATAGAAGGGGCCTTGTGAAGGAAGACAAAGAGCTTTGAAAGCGGGCTCAAGGTTTCGACTGTCCTAGTGGATTTGGGTAAGGAGGGCCTTCTGAAGTTTACCCAACCATTATATCCATTCCTAAACTGTTATGGCGATAGTCGACCATGATTGCGGAGACTATGATCCTCCGTGTCATTCATATTGGCTGTAGATTGAATTATATATATTGTCCGCAGTTTGAATCACTTTCTATGTATGTTTGCAATTTGGTTTGCTCATATGAATTTGATAATGGCTATGCCCTACAAACTGAATCACTGAATGCATGGTTGACAGATTAAAACCCTCTGTGTCTCTATGTTTTTCTTTTATCTCCATATTTATACAAATCTATGTTTTTATTTTCCTTAAATTCACATTCTATCACATATTTGGGGAATTTTGACTTTTTTTTATTTTTTATCCTTCATGGGGGTTTAGGCAGACTAGCAGAGCCTAATCAGACTGGGCCCTGACCATGTCTGGACCTGGTTTTGGGTTTTAAACACTGATGACATGGATACATGCGCAAATCCTTTGTGTATAGTCCAATTATATGAAATCACTTTTGGTGCTCTTCAGAGAGGACTCGGGCTTTGTGACGTGTACTCCAGAATACTGCAAAGAAGTATGTCATTCTTAGATCCAATATTCTTGGTTCTATCCCTTTCCGACACAAATCCGGGCATACTGAACTAGCTGGTACCTCATCAACTCCATTTATGGTCCATTTGCTTTTTCCTTCTCCATTCATAGAATACACAAGCTAATGATGATGAAACCCTTAAATCTATATGCAAATCAACAATCAGATTACAAACTCAACCATGGGAAAAGTGATCTACTTTTATGTACATTTGGATAGATATTTTAATCGTAAGTGCAGTACTAAGAAGCACTTACAAATGCAGGACTTCTAGGTTTGCTTGTTCTAAGTCTCCTTGGATCTTATAATGTGCTGTTTCTTAGTACTTTTAGAGGGGGGGCGCTGCTTATTTGACAAGAGATTCAGTCCCAAATAGGTAGTCACTGCCAATTATATGCATCTTTCAAGTTTTTTGGAGTTGGTTTCTTTAAGTTAATGCATCTTTATTAGTCGACTTCACTGATATTTTCTATGTTTGACAAGCAGTCATGAATTTAATTTCAATTGGTTGATTGGTTGGAAACATTTGACTTGTTTATACTGTGATGAAGAGGGTACCTTCATTTGGATCCAGTTTCCAGTAATCAAGAGAAGTTAGGTTGTTTGTATCTATTGAGCTTGGAAGCTCTATCTATAAGTTCGATTTTTTATCATCAAGAGGAAAGAGAGAGACGAGAAAAAGAGAGTGGTGGGAATCGCCAATCAGTGAGTCTTGTCATTATGTGATTAAATATTACTTTCGTGGATGTTTAAGTAGTACAATTACATAAATTCCCTTAATATCTATGATGTTACAAAGTAGTAAAATAACAAAGTAATAATGACAGTACTGGCCCTTATACATGATACAAAGTCATGATACATTTTCTTTTACACCTTCACTCAAAGCTGTACATTGTGCTTGAAAGTGATGCTGTTCACTGTGAGCACTTTGGTGAAATGTTCGCGGTCTGATTTTCAGTGCCAATATAATCCATTCGAATTGCCTCTGCTTCTATCTTCTCACACACAGAATGATAGTCACTATTTATGTGCTCAGTGCTGTCATGAAAAATAGGATTAATTGCAATAGCAAGTGCACTCCGGTTATCAGAATATATGCTGGACCATTATAACCAATTGATACAATAAGATTTCTATCCAAAAAATCTCTGCCACGATGTTTGGAATGCTCTATATTCAGCCTCAATATGTGATCATGGATCTCTAGATAGCTACCGTTAGACACGTCTTGAAGCTCGAAGCTCCATGTGGATTCCATGTGATATTCTTGTTATTTAATTCTTCCAAATGATTGTGGATTTTTTAAATGAGGACATGCAAAATCTGATAATCTTGTGTTGTCAACTTTTGAAAGATGAAACTATTATTTCCTCATTTTAATATACAGTTGAAAATGAAATTATTTTTCTTAAGATGCCAAGTTGTAACATTAAGATTCTTGTTTTTACCTTAATTGGTGATTCAGATGAAGTCAACAGTTGGTGAAGTCATGAGCTCACCTCCAATCACCATGTTGCATGATAGAAGAGTACTAGGTATATTTCTCTAGTTCTTCTCTCTGTATCTGTCAAGAAAGGCCTTATGATCTTTATTTACTGAAATAGTCTTTCTTTAATTGGTTATAGATGCTGCTGCTCTCATGCTCAAGGAAAAGATTCATAGGATCCCTGTTGTCGAAGAAAACGGTCAAGTTGTTGGTGAGTTACATTTGTGTTTCCCCAAATTTCTCTTGCCTCTTGTTTATAGGATCAATGATCAGCTTTAGTGATTGGAGATTGGGGTTTGCTACAGGCATGGTCACTCGCACAGATATTTTCCAGGCATTAGAGGGTCTTCCTTGTTGAGAGCTGATATTCCCATCGTTATTAGAGAGCTTCTTGGTGGCACAGCTTGTACATAATGGTGGTTTGTGTGTATATGTGGACTTGAGTGGAGGCTTCCGGCATATGAAAGTATTGTTATGTGGTGTTCTGTTTGTACTGTACTATACAACCATCTTATGGAATCCATAAATTTTGTTATTTGCTCATGGGTCATCACTGACTAGCAAAAAGTACAAATAAAAGCCTACCAGTTGGGGATGGTTATTAAGGTCCTTTTTTTACTTGCTTTTTTGAGTTAAATTTTTTTTCCCTATTTTCTATTTTTTTTTAAAATAACTGTTGGAAATTCTTTTGCTTTCTCTACAGGTCTGAAATATTCATTTTAAAAGGGGCCTCGAGGTGTATGAGCCCCTGTTTCAATTACAAGTACCTTTACCATAAGAATAAAGTTTATCACCCACTTAGTTTTGCATTCAGAACATAGCGTTGTTGCATATAGTATCTGTACCTGTGCTACTCCATGATATTTTCCTTGCAACCAAAGCCAGGGCATGTCTTGATTGTCGAATCATGTGATACCACTTATACCAAGCCATTTTCTTGGTTTTTTGAGTAACAAGACATGATTCCTGCACCTTAGCTATCCTGCTTCTTCAATCTACCAGAGGGGGTTTTGCACGCTTTGTTGAATCGATAATTTCATTATAAAAAGACTATGGGAGGTCTGCCAGCCACCATTCTTGGGGTCCGAAGCTGTTCAAATGTCAAAGGTACTGTAAAACTGACTTTTGGGGTACTGTACTGGCATTGGGGTGCTTCAATTTAACGTGATGGCTTCTAGTGATGTGCAGTTCTCAGAGGTCTATGTGTGGAGGCTTCTGTGCTTAATTATTCAAATTAGTGTAGTTTTTTGTGTCAAGTGTGGGTGATCCAGGATGCAAAGTAAGTGATTCTGTATGCATGTTAAATTGAGTGATTCAATTTGAGAGCTAGAGTCAGTATGCTTTTGCCAAGTATGGGGTTCGATACTGGGTGGACTGCTGCAACACCAATACTTCAATTTAATTTAAGTTGTTTTTTGTGGCTTCAGAACACAATTTACACTATGGATTGTCTAAAATTAAGGATCTTGGACCTAGACATGTTTATACTTAGGATTAAATCGGACAGGCCACTTTGTAACCTAGTCTCCCCATGCACTTTGGAATCTGGACCCAAGTTGCTATGGAGAGAGTCCTTTGCACTAGATCATTGGATGATGTCCATTTGAATGTACAGTTTTGGACCCTGGGGCTGACTATGATGCTCGACTTTGTTCTTTTTCATGTTTCCGTAAGGAGACCATAAGGAGACATCCATGAATCGATGCTTTCCAAAACGAAGTAGGATTCGTGGATGTCTCCTACTAACACTGTGAATTGAAATGCATTTTTAAGGACCTTAACAACATGTATTGATTGATCCATGGGCAATAACAAGTTACTGTAAATTTTGGCTCCATTTCACCACTGGGTTAGCATTAACTCTCAAGTGGAGGCCAAGAGCACACAGGTTGCCGTTATCGAAATGAATAAATTTACAATTTGCCATCACATATTGAACGTCAGGTATGAGCCTGAGAGGTTTGCTTGTTGGTTAGCAAGGTGATCATATAAAGCTTACTTCAAGGCAAAAGCAGGGGGTTTATCTGTAGAAGGGGGCCTTTTAGCTGAGGCTGAGGTAGAAGATGCCGACGAGTAGGCAAGAGAAGAAGTCGAGAAACTGGGATCAGACCGTGGAGCAGAGCATGGAGTGTGGTGCACATCATTACGCACCACAGGGGAGGACTTGAGCAGGGTATCAACCTTTGCATAGTCATCTTGATGTGGACCATCGTGCCTTATCTCTCTAAGCATTGCGGCCACATCCTTCATGGTAGGTCGGTCCTCAGGTGTAGGGTTCACACAGAGGAGTGCAATCCCTAAAGCCTGCACCATCTCTTCGATTTCGGAGTCAGGGCGGCCCCTCAATGTGGGGTCAAGCACTTCAGAAGCATCTGCTCTCCTCTGCCTCACCCACTCGATCACATGAACCCCGTCAGGTATGGTAGGGTCTATGGGCTGCTTCCCTGTGAGCACCTCTAACATCACCACGCCATAGCTGTACACATCGCTCTTCTCAGTGATTTTCATCATGTACCCGTATTCTGCATACATGGAAGAGAGAGAAACAATTAGCCGGCAACTACTGGTGCTATGGAATTGGGAAGAGGGAGACATTGATTAATACCAACTTGGTGGAATGCTATGAGAGAGAGAGAGAGAGAGAGAGAGAGAGAGAGAGAGAGAGAGAGAAAGCAACCTGGTGCTATGTAGCCATATGAGCCTGCTAGTGTACTAGAAGAATTGACAAACTCGGAGGAGCTGACAAGCTTGGCAAGCCCAAAATCCGCAATGTAGGCCTCCAAATGCATGCCAATGAGGATGTTGTTGGCCTTGATGTCCCTGTGCACAATAGGAGGGACGCAATCATGGTGCAAATATGCTAGCCCCTGCGCTGCACCCAATATTATCTGATATCGTGCCTCCCACTCGAGTTGAGCCCCCCTCCTCTCATGCAACAAACTCCCCAAACTCCCATTAGGCATATAATCATACATGAGAAGCCTTGTATTCTTATTGCAACAACAGCCCAGAAACCTCACAATGTTCCTGTGCCTTATCGTTCCCAATGTTCGCACCTCTGCTGAGAACGAGTCCCTTGCCAACCCCCCACAATTGTTTCCTGTTGTCACCGGCCACAGCTTCTTCACAGCAACCACCTCTCCACTCCTCATCTCTGCTCTATACACAACACCTGAACAACCCTTTCCAATCACATTTGTGTCCACGAGGCTCTTCACCACCTCATTGACTGTGAAGTTGAGCTTTTGGAATGGTGTGAAATGCCATGGCCACGCTTCAGATTCGGCCTCCTCGATGTCTGTGTCCTCTGATTGGCGTCGAGCTCGAACCACGAGAAAGGCTCCGAGAACCATTGCGATTGCCACCACAATCATCAAAGACATTGCGAGCTTTATCCTTCTTGGTCGATTCTCAGGCTCTCTCATCCCTCCACTTGCGAAGCACGAAATACAAAGATCAACATTTCCAGCGAGGTCCATGGGCGGAAGCTGCCTGAAAAGCTTGGTGTCTGGCAAAAAACCGGAAAATTTGTTGTAGGAGACATTGAGAGAGACCAAGTTCTCAAGTGAGCTGAGAGCGCTTAGGTTTCCAGAGAGAGAGTTGTGGGAGAGGTCAAGGATGGAGAGTTTTGTAAGGGTGGAGAGCTCATTGGGGATTTCACCAGAAAGTGAGTTTTGGCTGAGGTTTAAAGCAATGTCAAGGGCTTGAATCCGGCCTAACTCTGCCGGAATCTTACCAGAAAGTCGGTTATTGCTTAGGTCTAGAAGTTGGAGGCTCGAGCAAAGGCTCAGAGGAGTTGGGATTGATCCATTGAAATAGTTACCACTTAGGGAAAGCTTGTTTAGTGATTTTAACTCACCGAAAGCTTCGGGGATCTGACCGGTGATTCGGTTCATCGACACATCAAGGACCTGCAACCCTGCAAGTGAAGTAAGGGAAGTTGGTAGTGTCCCTTCTAGGGAGTTATTGCTAAGATTCAGCATTTGGAGGTGAGTAATGTTCCCGATCTCCACCGGAATCTCACCAGACAACTGATTATCCGAGAGTTCCAAAAAGTTGAGGCTGCTCAAACCACCAATCTCTTTTGGTATCTGTCCTCCGAGCCTGTTATCACCAAGGCGTAGGCGAACAAGAGAGCTTCCATGCCGCACTTCTTTTGGGATCTCACCCGATAAATCATTTGACAACAAAAGAAGCTTTGTAAGATTACGAAGCTCAAAAAGTCCTGGTGGTATGCTTCCTGTTAGTCGATTGTGTGAGAGATCAAGGGCTTGGAGGCTGGCACAGTCCGATAAAAACACAGGGATGCTCCCTTCTAACCTATTTTGCCATGCAAAAAACACAGTAAGATGGCTCAACTGACCTATTTCTTGAGGTATGGGGCCTGAAATCTGATTATTGTCAAGCTGAAGCTGAGAGAGACCTGCACAGTTTGCAAGCACTGAAGGGATCGAACCCGACACATTGTTATCGCTCAGCATGAGCTCACTCAGCTCCAATAGATTGCCAAAACTCAATGGAATGCTGCCCGAAAGAGAATTAATCGACAAATCCACCATCCTCAAGCTCCTACAATTCCCTAGCTCTTTTGGTATCGTTCCCACAAAGTTATTTTGCCATAGCAACATCTTCTGGAGCTTCTGTAGCTTGCCAAGTTCTGGTGGGATAGACCCTGAGAGCTCATTCTCGTACAAATACAAGTTCATGAGCTCCGAGCAGTTGCCAAGTTCTGGTGGTATTGGCCCGGAGAGCATTGCCGTATAAATTGACAGTGTCTGGAGCCGCTGGAGCCTGCCAAATTCTGGTGGGATACTTCCGGAGATTTTTGTATCTGCCAACCCCAAAATTGTCAGATTTTGACACATGGCAAGACCGATGGGGATCTCCCCTTCAATGTCTTGGTTCCCTCCCGCTCTCAGAACTTCAAGACTGGAAATCCGGCCAATTTCTGCGGGAATATTCCCACTCAGTTTGTTGTCAAAGATTAGCAGTTGTCTCAGCGATGTGCATTGGGTTATTTCGACCGGAATGCCCCCTTGAAGTTGGTTGGAGTTAAGAATAAGGTTTTGGAGTGAAGAGAGCTTACCAATTGATGATGGAATCTCTCCTGTCAACCTATTCGAACTCAAGTCGAGATGAACAAGTTGAGAGTAGTTGCCAACTTCTGGTGGGATTTTTCCAGTGAGATTAGCACCAGAAATTACAAGCTTTTGGAGATGAAGCAATGGCCTTAGCTGAGTCGGTACAGGGGCTGCGAGCTCGAAAGCTTGGACATTGATCTCGACTACAAAACCTTGGGGTGAGCACGTAATGGAGGTCCAGTTACAAGGGTTGGGGTCTTTGGGGTTCCAATCCAGGAATGGAAATGGAGATGAAGAAGAAGAAGTGGGAAAAGTTGAAAGCCACGAGAGAAGAGCAAGAGATTCATTATTGGTGGCCCTCACTTCAAAGAGTGGCAGCAGAAACAGAGCAATTGCAAATCCAAGCTTAGTGAAAGTCTTTCTCTCACTACAAAGCCTTCTCTTACTACTAAGAGGAGTAGCGGTGTTCTGGGGTTGCTCTCTCGACATGGCTCCGAATCCCAGAAGGGCTTTGCATCGGGTCTCGCCTTCTAAATCTCCCCCCCTCCTGTTATTAACTACCATTTTTACTCTGCATATCTCTTTCCCTCTCTTCACTAAACAATTGGTTTTCGGATCGCGTCACGCGCACGATGCACGCACAGGCACCATCTCTCTCTCTGCTATTTCTTACTAAACAAATGGTTCTTCTCTCTCTCTCTCTCTGCTATTTCTTACTAAACAAATGGTTTTTGGATCCCGTCACGCGCAACAGCCAATGGACACTAGACTCCATATTCAGCTCAGCTTTCTCTCTCTCTCCCTATGTTTCTCTCACATGTTTCAGTTCCACCCCTCTCTCTCATGCTGCTCTGTTTCTCTGTCTTATTGGAACTCGAGAACTGGAGCAAGCAAGCAAGAAATCAAACTGTAAAAAAAGAAAGAAAGACGTGGAGAGAGCTCTCTCTCTGCACTTTGAATTACACAGTAGGGGTGGCTTGGACAGGACCCGACCCGACCTGGGACCCACTGAGTATACCCGACATAGATCCAGGTATGGGTCCAACATTTTGACCAAGGGGATTGGATCTGGGTTCAACATCTGGTCCTGAACATTGTTCGGGTCTGGCTCTAGATTCGGTTGGACCCAACCCATACCCATAAAGTGTTGGAGATAAAATTCTTCAAACCCTATCTGTTTGGGTTTATTAAGGAAAATATACAATAAGAACTCGTAGTCTGATAAATCAGTTGACCTGAATACTAATGGCGGGTGATTGTAATCTGTTGCCAATAATATAGATATACGATGGTAAAAATAACAACAATAAAAAGAAAAAAGAAGCTCATAAACAGAAGGGCAGGCGACACAATCGGATCTGAAATTTGACGGGTACGTGTATGAATCCAATTTTTAGACCTGATGGATTGGGTCTTGGTCCAAAACAGGTACGTATATGAATCCAATTTTTAGACCTGATGGATTGGGTTTTGGTCCAAAACGGGTACATGTATGAATCCAATTTTTAGACCCGATGGATTGGGTCTTGGTCCAAAACCTAAATAGTGGATATGAATCCTCTTGGTCCAAAACCTAAATAGTGGGTATG